TGCGGCCTCGACGGCGGCCGCCACCGTGGCCGCGCCGGGGGCGGCCGATGTGCGGCATCTGCCTTCCAGAAGGAGCGGAAGGTGGAGGGAAGGAGGAGGCTGAGGATAAGGAGGAACTGAAACCTCGGCTTGCTCCAAAACAGCGGCAAGCAGCCCGCCCAAATAATGGTGCCTCAAGGAACCCCACCCCGGCCACGGGAAGTCTCTTTGAGGTCGTCAGACGCCCTCGGGGAACCGTGTAGGTCTGCAGATGCCCCAAGGGGCCGAACAGCTTTGATCCCAGACAGTTGCCGCCATCGTCTAGGAAGAGGGAGGCACCATAATGACCAATCGCGCAGTGTGCCATAAGATGTGAGCATCGGCCCGCCCGCTCCGTCAAACAGCGTTGTGTGTGGTGTCGGGCCATGGGATGGTTGGAGCAACTCCAGCTCAGGACTCCTTTCTGCGTCGCGTTCTTTTTGCTTTTCTTTTTGTCTTGTCTTGTTTTTTGTTTTCGTCGTGTTTGGGGAGATCGGCCACGCTCTGTTGTCCCCCGCGCAAAGGTTCGTTATAAACGCGATGGGTGGCCGTGCGCAACTCCAGGGCGCAACAGACCACTGTGGCACGCTCTCTCTGTCTCTCGCTCTCCCTCTCTCCCTCATCCCTTCCCTCTCTGTATACGAAGATACAGTATGCATACATATAAACATATGCAAACTGAGACTAATGTGCATGCACGCATACATGTATGGATGTATATATATATATATATATATATATGTGTGTGTGTGTATATAAATGCACCTGCGTCCGTATTTACACACCTGCATCCACATATACATGTACATACTTTTATGTAGATCTATATATGTATACGCCGGAATGGCTTCCACCCCCTCGGCAGCTCAGCAGTACTCTGAGCATTGATGTGCAGACCAGTGATGTACAACAGCACTCAGAAGAGACCATTGATATGCAGACGCTCGCGCACAGATGGCGGGTCGGCTGCCGAACCTGCAGAAAAACTGCTGGTTCAGACCACTACGATCAAGGCGTGCTAACCAAACCCTGAAACATTACCAGCGCCAATAAATCTAATTTACATGTCCACTGCGATACGGAGCAGCATGTTTCATGCCACCGTCGCAAACATGATATTGTTGGCGCAAGCACCAAGTGTCCGTCCGAGCTAACTTATTGTCCAGTTGAACTGTGAGAATGAATCTCGCCAAACAGCTTAGTGGAGATATCGTGAACACCTGACCTTTTTTTCCGCTGAGTCCAAGTCCGCTGCAAACATAAATGCGCAATGCAGAAATGAGTGCTTCGCATTTCAATCTCACAGTCGCGCAGGAATCACAGAAAAACTCAAGAACGAGCCCAGGAGAAGGACTCCGAGCGCACAGCACGCAGTCTGCCATGCCTACAACAAATCAATCTGCCCCTGCCTGCCCCGCAACGGCTACCACTGACGCTTCCTTCCAACACCCTCTTCCGGAGGGCCAACCGCTGCAAACCAGCATTCAACGCCTGAACCTTCGATCACCACTTTATCAGCAGTTGAAGGGCCCCCTAACACTTTGAGAACGGACCTGAGTTACGAGGCCCAAGTCATTAGGGGTATGGGGCCATTCCGACAGACGTGTCAAACCGAACCGCCCAGATCTCATCCCCAAGGCGAAGACGGGGACCTAAGTTAGGCCACGTCTTCATTGTGTTCTTAGGGTCAGGCCGGGCCTGCCCCCCCACAGGGATATTTTGGGCGAAGAATAGCAAGCACACCAAACATACTCCCAAGTAGCCCAAAAATACTACAAACATCGTCCCCATGCTATTTTTTGACTACTTGGGAATGCTCCCCCTGCAGAGGGACAGGCCCGACTCAATCTCAGGGTCAGGGGCTCTCTTGCTCTCGGCCATCGCTCACACGCGCCCCTCCTGGCCCTCTCCCCGTGCAACCCGCGCGCACTTCCGGCACGCCGCCGGGCGGTGCTGCCGAGGATAGAGGGAAAAAACCTATGCACATAACACCGATTCTGGCCAGGCCCATCCTGAGCCCAGGATCGGTGCATACGCCCTCCTACCTTGGCCAGGAAGGCATATGCACCGATCCTGGGTCAAGGATGGGCCTTGCCAGAATCGATGCATGCGCATAGTTCTCTTCACCCGAGAAGATTGCGGCGGCGAGAGGGGGCCTGTCCAGACCGCCCGCTACTCCTCCCGGGCAGCTTCCCCCTGGAGCTGCAGGCACGGTGTGGGGGGGGGGAGACCTCGGGGCGTTTCGGATGGGCCCTGGAGCCCCTTGGCCTCCCGAGTACGACAGAACTCGCCCAGGAGCCAGCTCGAGACCTCGCACAAACGTCAACACACACACACACATCGAACACACATCACGAAGACGCTGTCAGAGAACTGGAGCACGACTTAACAAGACATGCAAGCTTGTCTGAAGCAGCTCTCCAGAAACTGCTCCTGCTGCTTTTCCACCGATCCGACCACTCCTGTAGCGCCTTCTTACTGAGAGTTCTAGGCGAATCCATCCGTAGCGCCGAATCCCCTCCTCCGAAAGCACGTAACGTTAGGTCGGGCATGTCCCCCTACAGGCGGATTTTGGGTGAAGAGTTAAAACATACTCAAAACATACACCCAAATGGTCAAACATAGTTCAAACATCGTCCCCATGATATTTTTTGACTGTTTTTGAATTCTCCTCCTGTAGAGGGGCAAGCCCGACTTAAACGTAACGTCAGAATCCTCCTCTTGGCACTGGCACTGTCAGCACTGGCGTCCCTGGCCACAGGCTGCCATCCCCTCCTCCTCATCCTCCCTTTCCTCCCTCCCTGCTGTTGCATTTCTCTCTTCTTCTTCTTCTTCTTCTTCTTCTTCCCCCTCTTTTGCAAAGAAACGCGGCACGCGCAGACATAGGGAGCTCCAGGCGGACTTCTTGGATCGGCGCTGGGCCCCCCTCCGGGGCCGGGCGAAAGGGGGGGATAGCAAAAGGGGGGTTTGAGAATCAGCTCAAATAGCTGATTTCCCCGGCGCCTCCCGGCGCCGGGAGGCGCCCATGCATCGAGGAATGGGCCCGGCGGCGGGGCCGAAACCAGCTGCATGCAGCAGATTTCGTACCCCCCCCCTTTCCCTATCCCCCCCTTTCGTTCGCCCCGACCCTCCCTGGCGCGCAGAGCGCGCCAAGGGCGGCGGCATGGCGGGCCCCCCGGCGCCGAACCGAAGGAATCCGCGAGGACGTCCGTACGCTCATGCCTGCGCAACTTGTCCAAAATCCCTCCTGCGTTGGGCTCGTCCTCCTCCTCCTCTGGCCATCGCTCGGACGTCCATGCCCTGTGCTTTCTTTCGGTTCCGTGCGCGGCCTCCTCGCCACACGATCAAGGGTGCTCCTCGATGGCCCTCGCCGAAGGAAAAATGCACACGTCCGAGCGATGCCAAGTCCTCCTCCCGCCTCCCTCGCGGCTTGGGCTGTACAAGCGAGTTCGTGCTGCACCCCCCCCCCCGGCTGTTGGCAACCGGACGGGCCCTTCCGCGGACAGCCGCTCCAATCCGATCCCTTCTGGCTCCCTCCCGCCTCCTGCGGCGTACCTCCCGCTTTCCTCTCACGGCCCTCGTGCTACCACGAGGAACGCTGAAGGAGGAACGACGGGGCCTCTCGTGCCATGGCGAGCCTCAGTCACGAATGGGCTCGCTGGCTCAAAGTCTGACGAGCGGCCTGCAGCGAGAGCCCTCCTGAACCCAAAACGGTCCTTGGCTCAGCGCCTTTTGACTGTACCTACCTCCTGACGCAGACGCCGACGGCTTCAGAGCTGGGTGCGAGCGCAGCCGTAACCCCACTCCAGCGGCGCCGCCTGGTTCCTGCTTCCTGTCGGCCTGAGGGTTCGGTGAACGCGGTCTCCCCCCCAGGGCTAGTCGGCCCCAGGGGGTTGCTCAAACGAGGTAGCCGACCTGGCGGTTTGCCAGTGGCTGAGGATGACGTTGCGTGAAGATGACAGACAGACAGAGGGTGGCTCCTCCTTTTCCTCCTCCTCCTTCTTCTCCTCCTCCTCCTCCTCCTCCTCCTTCCTCTTCTTTTTCTTTCCTCCTCCTCCTCCTCCTCCTCCTCTCCTCTCCTCTCTCCTCTTCTCCTCCCTCTTCTCCTCCTCCTCCCCATCCTCCTCCTCCCTCCTCCTCCTCCTCCTCCTCACGATCCTCCTCCTCCTCCTCCTCCTCGTCTTCCCTCCTCCTCCTCCTCCTCCTCCTCTCCTCCACCCTCCTCCTCCTCACGCCTCTTCCTCCTCCTCCCTCCTCCCTCCTCCTCTCCTCCTCACGCTCCTCCCTTCCTCCTCCCTCCTTCCTCCTCCTCCTCCTCCGCCTCCTACTCCTCCTCCTCTTCCTCCTCCTCCTCACGCCTTCTCCTCCTCCTCCTCCTCCTCCTCCTCCTCCTCCTCCTCCTCACGCCTCCCTCCTGGCCCCTCCCTGCCTCCTGCGTCCCATCCCACTCGCCTCCTTCGAGACTAGGAAATGACGGCACAAAGCAGGAGATTCTCTCGGAGGTCCGCGTGGACTTCCTGGAGCGGCGCTGCCCCGCCACCGCCACTCTGGCGCGCGGGGAGCCCAGCGTTGGTCCAGGAGCTCCGCGCGGGCCTCGGGGAGCTCCTGCCTCTGCAGCTGCTGGTTCCTCGACCGTCTCCTGCTTTCAAGTCGTGCGTGTCCCCCTACAAAGGGATTTGCGACGAAAAAATAAAAAAAATACGCAAACGTGCTTCAAGATGGCTAAAAATTTTAAACAAATAGTCCCCAGACTATTTTGGGACTATTTTTGAGTATTCCCCCTGTGGAGGGACAGGCCCGACTTCATCCTACTTGCCTCCTGCCTCCTGTTCTCCCCACTGTTCTCCTTTCCTCCTCCGCCCCCCCCGTCCTCTCCCCCCCGTCCTCCTCCTCCTCCTCCTCCTCCTCCTCCTCCTCCGTCTCCTCCTCTCTCTCTTCCCTCTCTTGCCTCTCCTCCTCCTCCTCCTCTTCTTCCTACTGTTCTCCCCCGGCCCCGGCACCACAGCGCCGCTCAGTCCGTGCGCGCGGGCGGCCGGAAGCCTTCGCAGCCGTCCACCGCCGTGCCCACGGGCGCCCTTGGCTCCAGGACCTCGCGCGCCGCCGGCAGGCAACCTGCTCTTGCAGGTTAGATCGGGCGTCGGCAGAACTGGGTTTAACGGAACCTGGTTTTGTGATTTGTACCGGGGGCGCCCCCCCGCCGTCCCATTTCCACTAACCGGAACTGCCGTCACCCGAAAAACACCAAATCCGGCAAACCTGGTTTAGTGAATCTGGCCAATTGAGGGGCGCCAGGGCCCTACCACTAACCGGGTCCCCTTACCCGGGGTCCTGGCTATACCCGATTAGATCTCTGAAGCGCAGGCTGGGCCTCACATTTTTATGGGTGTCTGTAGCCCGATGAATCCCAGTTTGGGTGTCCGATGCCCCAGCGTCGATTGGACCCGCAGGGGTAAGGCTCACATGTGATCGCAGACGCGGAGAACAATAGACGAAACTACGACCACGACAAAATCGGACCGGGACTAATCGGGGATCTGTGAGACCTGGCGGTCACGGAGGATGGATCGGGCGCCGCGGCCGTTCCAGAGCGTTCGTTCGCTCTGAAGCGTTCCGGAAGGCTCTGGAACTGCCTGTCCCAGCCGTGGTCGGCGACTCCGAAGGGTATGGTTTGCAAAGAAGTGGTTTGACCGGCACCCTGCTGGGGAACACCCCGGGGACCTCGACAGAGCTCTTCGCCGCGCCCCGACGAGGCCCGACGACGACACTGTCGTGCCCCAAGGCCCCAACGACCCAGATCGCAAACCGCACTCCGGCGTAACCGTACCCTTTGCAGTCTCCGACCTCGGCCCGCGCACGCCGCCGGGGCACGGCCATCTCGCCAAACAGCCCTCCTCCACCTCGATTCCTTTCTTCCTCCTCGCTCCCCCCTTCTCCATCTCCTGCCTCGATCCTCCTGCCTCGATCCTCCTCCTCCTCCTCCTCTTCTTCTTCCTCCTCCATCTCCTGCCTCGATCCTCCTGCTTCGATCCTCCTCCTCCTCCTCCTCCTCCTCCTCTTCTTCTTCCTCCTCCTCCTCCTCCTCCTCCTCCTCCTCCTCCTCCTCCTCCTCCTCCTCCTCCTCCTCCTCCTCCTCCTCACTCTCCTCCTCCTCCTCCTCCTCCTCCTCCTCCTCCTCGCGCCGGGGCGTAGCCGCCAGGAACTCTGAGCAGCTTCTTCGTCGGTCGGCAGCGCTGGCGAGCGCAGGCGCGTCTCGTGGGCATGCGGGGGCGCGCCCGGCGGCGGCGCGCGCAGGGGCGGGATGGAGAAGAAGAAGGCGGCGGCGGCGGCGGAGGCAGAAGGCGGGGAGGGGGGGCCCCGGCCGCAGAGCGTTGAGGGGCGGCGACAGGGGGGAGGAGAGGAGGAGGAGGGGAGGAGGAGGAGGAGGAGGAGGAGGAGGAGGAGGAGGAGGAGGAGGAGGAGGAGGAGGAGGAGGAGGAGGGAGGAGGAGGAGGAGGAGGAGGAGGAGGAGGAGGAGGAGGAGGAGGAGGAGGAGGAGGGGAGGAGGAGGAGGAGGAGGAGGAGGGAGGAGGGAGGAGGAGGAGGAGGAGGATAGGAGGAGGAGGAGGAGGAGGAGGAGGAGGAGGAGGAGGAGGAGGAGGAGGAGGAGGAGGAGGAGGAGGAGGAGGGAGGAGGAGAGGAGGGGGAGGAGGAGGAGGAGGAGGGGGAGGAGGAGGAGGAGGAGGAGGAGGAGGAGGAGGAGGAGGAAGAGGAGGAGGAACATAAACATATTCCTTTTTTTTTCTTGTCTTCCCCCATTCCCCATATTTTCATTTTCTAAGGAATCGGCGAATAATTGTGTCGGTGTGTGTTTTTTCCCTCCTGATTTGTAAGGGTTTCTGTCCAACTCTGTGCGGCCTGGCGTCGCTGCTTTTCTGGCTGTCGTAGGGGCTCTGGTGCTAGCAATGTCCTGTGGAGCCCGTCGCTGTGCCGTCGTTGCGCACGGCCGAGAGTGGTGCCCGCGCTGTGTTCGGATCGGCCGCCGCTCGACATCCAGGTATTGCGGCCGGCGAACCATGTGGCCACTCTCCCAGATGGCTGGCTCACGTCGATGGAGGCCATCTGATGGAATGGAGCCAGATCCCGCGGTAATTCTGGCACTTCTGGTGGCGCGGCTACTGATGCCGACGGAGGTGGCGTGGAGCTTCATCCGCATGGCGCGCAGATGCCGAAGTTGGCCATTTGTGGCATGTAGGCCCAGCTTGGCAGCTGCGCGACGGCAGGCGGGCTCGTAGACGTGGCGCCTCATGCGCTGATGTCGCCTGCTCAATCGCGCCCATGAGCTTTCCCCAGTGGGATGACGCCGGCCACTCGTGTCCAGCGCGGCGGTGTTGGTGGTGGTGGTGGTGGTAGTGCTGCTGCTGATGCTGCTGGATCTGTAGGTGCTGTAGGTGCTGTAGGCGCGGCTGGCGCTGCGCCCCCCGCCCCTGCCGCGCGGGCCAGCGTAGTTGCCGGGCCCGCAGATTCAAGGGAGTCCTGCTGGGTGCGACTCATGGGCTCGGCCATTTCGCGACCTCGTCGCCTCTGCCTCGCGCGAGCTGGGGGATGACGGGTGAGATGCGGTCTCTGCCTGGCGCGACCCGCGGCTGTGGCCCGCGGCATGCCGCGAGCCGTCGGACGACGCGCTCGGCGCTGCGGCCGTGGCTGGCCGCGGCGCTGCCGCCGCTGGAGTCGGCCTCCCGCCGTTCTATGGGTCGGCGCTCGGCGTTGGATCGCCTTCGCTGGGCCCCCCAATGAGAAATCGGAGAGTTCCAGCAGGGCCCCTCGTTCTTTGAACTGTGTGTGCGCCTGGCGTGGGCTGCTGAGCGGGTGGTCCCGTGTTCCCTGATGTCCCAGGTGTGCGCGGATGTCGGTGGTGGTGATGGCACAGCTGAAGCTGGGGCGCTCAGGAAGAGAGCGCGCCCTTGCCGGCGGCGCCGGGGCCAGTCGCGCGCGAGGTGCTCCTCGGAGTCGCACTCGTGGCACTTGGGGCGCTCCCCGTCAGTGCCCATCGGGTGTCTTCAGCGGCCTGAACCCATGCCACTGGACCATATATTCACTGCCCCTTTCCCCTGTCCCTTCCCGTTTTCGGAAGTCATTGCTGGGCAAATCGGCCGGGCAGGCGCAGTCAGTGGCCCCTGCCGTGGCCTCTGCCCATGCGTTCGGTGGCCCTCGAGGCGCGGCTCGTGGGCCTGCGGGTATTGAAGCTGCGCCGTCGCGACTGGGCGCGTTCGTGGGCCCGGCGGATGTGCGCGCCGAGTTGTTCCACAAGAGCGTCGCGTAGCTCGGGGTCGTCGGCGGCGGTCTTTTCGCCGGAGGAGCTGATGGCGTCGGAGTCTGCGCCTGAGTCGACGCCTGCTGTTGGGCGCGCCGCCTGCGCTTAGGGTGCCGTGCCTGGGCCGGCAGCAGCGGCGGCTGCAGCTGGACTCGGTGCCGCCCCCGTGGCAAGGAGGCCTATGCCGTCCCAGCTCGATCCAGCCGTAGTGGCGCAGTCACTCTGGGCCTGATCTCGCTCGGGCGCACCCGTAAGTAACGCGCGGCGTTGGGTCGAGTGGGCGGCCGAGGCGAGGTTGCCCAACGAGCCCCAGATCATGCGCCCAAGCCGTCGCAGCTGGCCCGTCATGTGCGACGACTGCTGTGCGTTCGTGGGGGTAGGCCATGGAGCGGCGCTGCGAGATCGCGGTGAGTTGGATGTTCGCCGCGCCCGCCGCGCGCAGCAAGAAATAATTCAATCCCTCGTGGCCGATCGTGAGTCGGCCAGCGTGCTGCGCCCTGTAGCGGATGTCGAACCTGGCAAGGAGGTTGTCGATGCGATCCTGCGGCCATCGGTTGAAGTTCGCCAGGGCCGATGCAGCTTGAAGTCCACCAGGGCCGATGCCGCCAGGGCGCGCTCCCCCTCGCCAAGCTGGGCCCGCCGTTCGGCCAGGCTGTGCGTTGGGGAGGTGGCGTCCGGCGCTGAGTTGCCATTGGTGTGACCTCCCTGGGTCGGGGCAGCTGGCGGCCACCCGTCCGCGCGCCCGCGCGCCGTGCCGGTGGGGCGAGGTGGGGCGCGGGCCGCTTGGCGGAACCCGACGCGATCGGACCTCGCCACTGATCAGATTTGGACCTCCCGCGCCGAGCGTTGGAAGGGCACGCGAGCTTGCTGCTCGGGCCCCCAGGTGCGGAGGTGCTGAGTGTTGCCGCCGCCGCCGTCGGCGCCCATGCAAGCGATGCAGCTGGTGGCAGCGACCATGCCCACATTGATGGCCTTCCATCGGCGGTGGAACCCCCCCCATGCATCGAAGTGGTGCTGGAGTCCTGGAGCCCACCAGCGGCGCTTGTCGGGTAGAGGACCTCGAAGCCGCCGTTATTTGTCCCGGGTATGCTTTTCCTCGTCATCGAATTGGGCATATCTTCCTGTCGCGTGGTTGGGGTTCGATCGGCACTCGAAGCATCCCACAAAACAGTCATGGGAATGCTCATTGTGCGGCACGCCGCCTTTGCACTGGGCACCGCCAGCTGTACGATAGCCAAGGGGAGCATGCATCGGTATCCATGTCTGCCAGGTCGCAAGGGGTGCATGGGTAATGTGGAAGGTCATGTTCGGAGGGATCGAAGACCAATCGTCCCAAGTGCGTGTGGCGGTCCCCCAGAATGCTGGCAACATGGTCGCCAAGAACTCCCTCATCGCCCTGCTCTGCCTGAATCTCCCCAACATGTGGCAGCTTAGTCGCCGAGGATTTGGGGCGCGAGATGTGAACGTCGGGTCGGTCGATTGCCTGACCGTCGGCTCTACACCCGCAGGCGGATGCAATGGAGGCGTCGTGTCCGTTGCCTCTTTCGCCCACGGCTCCTGCAACGTAGTCGCAGGGAGCTCGAGACTCTTGGCCACTGCCGAAGAGGTGGACGTTGTGCCAAGCAGCTGTCTGACATGAGAGGCTGCGCTCATAGGCGAGTACGATGAGGGCATCGGGTCCACGAGCTGCTCATACATAGTCGGAGCAAGCCCGGGATACTGAACAAAACGAGGAGGCGGCACGGGGCCGCGGTCCGATGTTTTCGTCGTCGTACACGTGCGCCCCATCCGTAGGCGCTATTGGCGGTTGGGCGGGGTCCGCCCTGACGGTCCTTAGAGAGCCGTCGCCTGCCGCGATGAACGGGCGGAAGAGAACGAACAAACTGAACCTTTGAGCACGGCGAACACGGAGTCCTTGAGAAGATTGTCGTTGAATATGTTGACCAACACGATGGAGCGTGGGCGCCGTTGCATTCGAAGCACGGCAGCGGGATAATGCCATTTACGCCATGGCGGCGTGTGGAAAGGGGGCCGCAACTGTGCTACCAAATACCAAGTGAAAGTAACACATCAGCATCGGATGTGGTAATTTTCAATGCGCGAAACACGGGATGAAAACTCTAAACATAATCTAACACGGGCACCGAAGGAACTCCTGTGAACCCTACGTGGCCGCGGAAAAGGACAGGAACGGCAGGCAAGGTTCGAATAGGAGGAAAGGGAGGAGGCGGAGGAGGAGGAGGAGGAGGAGGAGGAGGAGGGACCAGTGGAGGCAACACAATGATGAGTGGGAGACCTCGGTCTCGTGCAGGCGCCAGCCGGTTGCGGAGGTACAGCCCACCATGCTGAGCAGCTGCTCCTGGATTTGGGGCGCCGCGGCGGGAAGAGGAGGAACCCGCCCGCTGGTCGGCGACGTTCGAAAGCAAATGCCATATCTCGAGGCCCCCCTAAACCAGGACGATGCTAACGAAGACTCTGAACATTCCGCCCGGAAAGCACGAAGCATGGAGAATGCTCCGACCCATGGCTGCATTTTTTTGTCGGGCGCGCCAGAAGTCCTGGTTTACCGAAGTATCCGATTACGGGGCCCTGAACATCCATTGGCCGATTCTGGATTGGCGGCGCGCAGAAAGGGATGGCGGGATTGGGGAGGGCTTCTGAGAACGAGGCTGTTTCTTACAAGGCGCCGGCCCTACATCTATAGATGAGGCCCGCGCCTTCTGAGACGTGTGGGTGACTCTAAGCAGCCCTGCCCCCTCCCCCCTGCTGCTGCTCTGCTGCTGCTGGTGCTGCTGCTCTTCGTCCTCATCCTTTTCCTCCCGCTCATCCTCCTGCTCACCCGCCACCTCCTCCTCCTGCGCACACAGCTTCCGATTGCGCAGATCACGAAACGGTCCTTCTGTGGGAGTCGCAGGTCGCCTACGACACGCGTCCGCGGATAAATAAAAACCCAGCGTCGTAGGAAGGGATTTGGGGGGAGGGATAGGACGTCAGATGAGGCGCGAGCGCACCTATCTTGCCCCACCCCCCTCTGTGCGTGCCTGATGACCATCCACTGGCCGATTCTGCGGCCCTGCGGCCCGTGATCCCAAGAATGCCGGCACCCCTCACTCCTGCTGGCGCCGCCGGCCATCCTGGGCGGACCCGCCGCCGAGTTCTGCTTCGCGCCGCCCCTCACGCAGGGGCTTCCGCCGAGGGCGAGAAGCGCCGCGGGCCCTCCTCCTCCTCCTCCTCCTCCTCCTCCTCCTCCTCCCCCTCCTCCTCCTCCTCCTCCTCTTCCTCCTCCTTCTCCCCCCCCCCCGCCGTCCTCCTCCTCCTCCCATATTGCCCGCGGATCCCCAAGGGAGAGCGGGCGCGTCGTCGAAGGCTTTTTGGACGGCCTGTCTGGCCCCTCCTCGGCGACGCCTCTTTCGTGGCAGCCATGCTCTACGTCCTCATGGTGGGCATCGGATTCTTTATTGCCCGCGTGGCTCCCTTCCTGGGAGAGCGAGAGCGCCGCCGTCTGCTGCGCTGATGGCCCGTCTGGCCCCTCCTGGGGGCGGGTCCACGCTGGAGCTGGTGGCGGGCGCCTTCACCGTCCTCGCCTGAGGACGCGGCCGCCTTGGCCGTCCCGCCTGCTGTTCGTCTCGACGGACGGCTGCGCCAGGCCTCGTCCCTCGTCCCTCGTCCTCCTCTAAAACAAAGCTAGGATCGGGATAAATCGCTCCAGAGCGTTCCGGAGCGCTCTCAGAGCGTTCCAGAACGCTCTGGAGCGGCCGCGGCGCCCAATACATCCTCCAAACCCGCCGATTCTCAGAGATTTCGAGTTATCCCGATCCGATTTTGTCCCGATCCTCGTGTCGTTTTATCCTCCCCCCCTCCTCCCCGCGAGGCCAATTCTGGAGCGCCACGCCCGGCCATGACGAGTCCCTGGTCCTCCGCCAGCCTGCCGCCGATTGTCTGTGCGAGGCAGGCTGGGAGGCGAGGGCGGCGTATGGGCAGCCAGCGGCAGTGATTGTTGACCGCACGGGGGGCCATACGTGCTCATGCGAGGACGGATTACTTCATGGAGCGAGGAGTGTATGGCAGTAGGAGAAGGACTAAGGGCGACCATCACATCCGATACAGTGAGCGGCTTGAGTAAGGAACACTTGCTTTTCAAAAGGGGCTCGGTCGTTCCGTAGGCTTGCATGCGTTATCCATCGTTCCGTATGTGTTTTTCATTATTCATCGTTCCTCATGCATTGTTCCTTGGAAAACAAAAGGGGCTTCGTTCCTTATTTCTCGTTCCTCAGGTCAGGCCGATGGCTGTGGTCATTGGAAGTTGCCCCACGAACTGGGCGAGGTGGGGTGGGCACGCTGACGTGGCATCGAATGCCCGACAAAGACTGCTGGGCCGACCCGCGGCAGCGGGAAGCTGATCGCCTCGGGGTTCCAGGGGCGCACACGGAGCAGCGGCGTGCCCGCGCGCCGCGGAGGCAGCGAGGGATATGAGGACACCCGGCAGCTCTGCAGCCACTCCCTGGAAGGGCTGCGCCCATGCGAACGACTTGTGCGAGCCATCGTGCGGGAGGGGAGGCAATGGCCCGGCGTGAGGCCAAACCAGCTAGCTGCAGTGGCCAAGCGATTGCGACATCCTATGCTCCTCGGGCATCGTGCCTACGTGGTAGGGTTCCTTTCTAAGTGTGGGGGGGTACCGCCCCCGACGGGGGTCGGAGCGCCTTCGGCGCGCGGTGGCTGCCCGCGACGGGGGTCGATGTGGGGCTGTCGGCGGGGGTGACGCCCCCCCCCACCCCCCCTCACGCTTACCGAGAAACTCGGAGCACGGCGGGAGAACCCAAACCCAATCAAATACCAGCATGTTCGAGCCCACGTGTTCATACCCAATCGAATGCTTACAGGGCAGTTTGTAATACATCGGAATTGTTAAAATAGAAGATTTTAATCCATGCTTAATTTATGGACGAATTTATGCATGAACCCATCGTTGTTTTCAATACAACATCTTTGCATTTTAATGCATGATTCGCACGCGGAGCATGTATGAAACACGGCACGGTACCGGCATGTTGGAGCCCATGCCCAACCGAATGTCACAGCTCTCCGCAGAACGGCGCCTCCACCCCCCCCCCCCCCGGGCCCTCCGAGACCAGCTCCCGACCAGCTTGGGGGGGCTCCACGGGCCGGGCCCTGCCCCGCGGCACGCTCGCCGGCACCACGCGGAAGAGGCAAACCCCCGGCCTGGCGCGCGGGCAGCGCCCACGGGCCTGGGAGGGCCGGCAGTCAGAACGTGTATTGAGGGCGGGTGGTAAGGACGCCACACCCTCGGAGGCCGAAGTCGGGATTCTGTGGGCTGCGGGCGACCAGTGAAACCGGCAAATGACGGGCCGCAGAGGCAAGGACACACAAGGGTACCCTATAGATGACGGCGCGCGTCCTTACTAGGCGCGTTGACTGTACAGCCCTCTGTGAACGTTTGTTTAGTCGGCGTTTCGACACTGGGCGGGAGGGGAGGGGAGAGGGGGGGGGTCTGGCTCCGGACCTTTGCTCAGTGCGACTGGTTGCAAGAGTGCGGCCTCTGGGGGGGACACCACCCGCTCGAAGCAGTCGCCAAAAAGCAGCCAGGATCTACTCCACAGGGGGGGGGTTTTGGGGCCCGCGCCGATCGGCAAAACAAATAATAACAAAACCAATCACTATTCAGAGCCACCTCGAAGAGGCTTTAACCTTGCCCCAATAAAATCCTCAGGCCAATCTCGAAATAGGACTGTTCGAACTGACAACGATTGCCCGCGCACGCTCTTCTCTCCTAGACGTCCTAGACAAGAGAGAAGCGGCAAACCGCGATCCGGCACTCCACCCTGCACCAACGTTCGCGAGCTGCTGGCCCGCTGCTGCACGATGTCCTGCTGCCGACGTGGACGTGAAGAGCTAGCAGCGTGGAGCACGGGAGCAGGAGAGACGGACCACAAAGGGCTTGCAGCAGAACAGGCCGAACAGAGTGGGCGTGTTTCGAGTAGGGAATCGATTACAGAGATGATTTACCCCAGAGTTCAAATCCCCGCTGAATATTCGAAAATGACATAGCATGTTCCTACGAACATTCTACGTCTGTTTGGCAGATTCCACGGGCAAATCGATTCTTGGGTGAATCAATGCTGTAGTCGATCCCGTACTCGAGTGTTGTCCACCAGGGGTGTGAAGTTTTTGGGCTTGAGCGTGCAAAGCTCTCAAACCTCCCATGTCACGATCTGTTCGTGACGTGGGCCCCCATTGGAGGTGGCAAGGGGGTCTGAACCGGTTGGGACCCCAGGAAGTCGGTCAGGCGGGGGAGGTGAAGCGAAATCCGCTCAAAATCGGTCCCCAGACCCCACTCCTGGGGTCCATCGGGTGCAGCTTGTCACCCCAGATCAGTTTTGACGGTCCCGAGGCCCGAAAACGGCCACCAGAGGATGACAAAGGCAAGAAACCTTCCCGAACTCAGAACCTCGAACCTGCGCCCCCTCCCTGCTTGCCGAAACCAGTGCTGGGCCACCTCAGACTCCCAGCAGGCTCCAAGGCACCCAAAGCTCTCGACCCCCTCTCTTTGCTCTGAAGTAGTTCACCTTGGCAGACGTCCGTGGTGAATAAAGGAAATACAAGCCAGCATCTCTCAATGATAGAGTATGTCCAACTTCCTGCCTCCGCTGTTAGTCACATCATCGACCCTTTGCCCCGGACCAGTGGCTTTCACGCCGAATCGTTGCTGTTGACAGTCCTAGGGCACGAAGCAGGGCACGAAGCGGACCTTCGGAGTCCAACGTGCGGGAACGAGCTGCCGCTGCCCGCCCGCGCAATTTTTCCACGAGAGCAATCACCTCAGCGTGGTGTTCGCTCGCGCGAGTGCCGTTCGCATCAGGAGCCAAGCGAAAAGAGATCGCAACGAAGATCCGCATCCCCAACCGAGAGGGGTGAATGCCGATGCTGCACATGAGGCTTCAACTAGATGCCATAGTAGAAGAAGGACAAAAACGGTAGAAACATGAACATTTGGCGCTCCGCGCGGTTTTCTTGGGTCTGCGCTGGGCCCCCCTCCCAGGTGCGCAGAGCGCGCCAGCGGCGGCGCCGGAGGCGCCGACGGGGGGGCACAGCGCAGAGTCAAGACGTCCGCGCGGAGCGCCACATGCTCAACATGTTTATGCTGCCTTTTCTTCGCCAGCAGCACAAAGAGGCAGCGGCCTCGACGCTGCACGCCCGCCGCGATGCTGCGCGCCCGCTGCACGCCGGCGCGCTGTGCTGCAAACGAACACTCCTCCTGCCTGCGGGGGCCGCGGTCCCCGGGGGCCCGCGCCCAGGCCGATGGTAGAGGCCTCCTGGATGGTGTCAGGGCAGATGGGGTCGGAGGATCGCGCCGCTTGGCCCAGTACATCGGCGATGCGCCGGCGATGCACTGGCGATGCATCGTCGACGTGGGCGACGCATCGGCGACGTCGAGCCGCATCGGCGATGCAAATCGGGCTCCACATCGAGCCGCATCGGCGATGCATCGCCGATGCGGCGACATCCTCCAATCCCATCTACTCCGACCCCATGCAGGAGGCCCAAAATTAGGTCGGGCGTGTCCCCCTACACGCGGATTTTGGACGAAAGATAAAAGCACACAAACAATGCTAAAACAATGATCAAAATTGGTAGACAAATAGTTCCCGAACTACTTTTGGACTAACTTTGAATCTTCCCCCTGTAGAGGGACAGGCCCGACTTAAAGCCTGGAGATGGTCGGGAGCGGCAAAGAGGGGGGTGTCCAAGAGGGGGGGGTGCAAATCATGACCGGCGGCGCGTGCGCGGCCCAGCGGGGGGGCCACGGACGTAATGAAATCAGAAGAGGCGCCACGAAATCTGGAGAAATATCATGGCCCCCACCATGATATCCCCCCCCCCCTAGTCACCACCCCCCTCTTTTCCGCCCCCGAGCCTAGAGATGGGGGGAACGAGCTCGGATGGCAGCTCCCGGGCCGCCTCCGCGCTGCCGCGCCCCGCGGCAGTGCGGAGGAGGCGCGAGGCCTGGCGCCCCTGCTGCGGACGGAGGAGGAGGATGCAAAGGAGAAGGAGGAGGACGAGGAGGAGGAGGAGGAGGGGGAGGAGGAGGAGGAGGAGGAGGAGGAGGAGGAGGAGGAGGGGGAGGAGGAGGAGGAGGAGGAGGAGGAGGAGGGGGAGAAAAGGAGGAGGAGGAGGAGGATACAAAGGAGAAGGAGGAGGATGAGGGGGAGTGGAGGAGGAGGAGGAGGAGGAGGAGGAGGAGGAGGAGGAGGAGGAGGAGGAGGAGGATAAGGAGGAGGAGGAGAAGGAGGAGGAGGAGGAGGAGGACGAGGAGGAGGAGGACCAGTGGAAACCCAAGAGTCACCAACGATGTTGGAATTAACTCTCCCTCCAAGCTCCCTCTTCATAGGCCACCACAGGGGTTCATTTCTATTGAGGGAACTGCCTCGTTGGAAAACAATAGTCTGAAGACCCTGAAACGTGCCAAATCATTGTTCTCGGGCTTTCAACGCCACGTATCAACCTGACTGTTGCGTCTTGGCGATCCAGAATCCTGCCAGAACGCCTTTTTTGGGGGCTTCAACACAGCGAATCAACATAACTGTTGCGCCCGCATAATCCAGAATCCTTCCAAGACGCAATTGCTGGTACGTTGATCCTGGGAATCCGTGAAACTCTTGTAACTTTTGAAAACGAATGCGCGCGGCGCTAAGGCGAGAACCACATGTTGAGAAAGAACCGCCCTCAATCCTTGAAACGCTTGCAACTTGTTAACACGAATGTGCGCGGCGCCAAGGCGAGAACCACATTTTAAACAAGAACCGCCCCCAACCCATGACACCCTTGCAATTCTTTGCTACGAATGTGCGCGGCGCTAAGGCGAGAACCATATGTTGAAAACGACCCGCCCTCAATCCGTGAAGCTCTGGCAACATTTGAAGACGAATGTGCGCGGCCCTAAGGCGAGAACCATATTTTGAAAACGACCCGCCCTCAATCTGTGAAGCTCTGGCAACATTTTAAAACGAATGTGCGCGGCGCTAAAGCGAGAACCACAATTTGAAAACCACCCGCCCTCAATCCGTGAAGCTCTTGTAATTTCTTAAAACAAACGTGCGCGGCGCTAAGGCGAGAACCACATTTTGAAAACCACCCGCCCTCAATCCGTGAAGCTCTGGTACATATCTAAAACGA